GTATGTGGGGCATGCATATTTTTCGACCTACCATGGTCATGTGTATCAGTAAAGTGTCGTGCGTTAGCAATATTTGGTCTCAACAAGGGCCCAGCAAGTTCTAACTAATTACACTTCTTCACTACAAAAATTCGTAAGCCATTATTGTTTTATACCCATACCCAGTTCTCTATTGTCGTTTATCTCACATGATTCCGAAAGAAGTTGCATCAGAGTTGGGAAGTAGAGAATTGGTGCTCCCGGGGTAGAAATAAAATCACTAAAATTGAACTAAAATTGCAGATTTTTCGTTAACGTAAATTAACGTTGCATTTGGTGAACGATGCAGCACTTCGAAAGTTGGTTACCAACGTCGGCACGACTCAAATTTGAATGTTTCAGATTAGTGCAAAAAAGGGTCGGCAAATGGTTAATCCGACGTCAATAACCGACGTTAGGTTGTGTGTGGCGTCGTGGGGCCGACGTCCAAATGCTATTTGGGTAATTAAATAACTTTGATTATCGGCCGTTCTTTATTAATTTGTTTAGTTTACGTTGTTTATTACTTAACTTTTAGGTCACCTTGTTGTTATTGAATCTTAGTTTGATTAGTTTTTTAGTTCACTTATTTTGATACGTTTTACCTAGGTATCTACCTAACTAAACTGAAAGTACTCCTTAACGCATTTAAAGTAGGGGAATTTCAGATGTTACCAGTTGACAACAGCGCGCGACGTTGTATGATTTGAATAAACATTTTCAAATAAATAACACGTGTCGATTCATTTTGTTATTTTTAGCTGTCAGTGGTCTTGATAATTTATTATTACATTCTGGTAAATTATAAGGAAAAAAAAGGCACTGACAACATTGTCAGTCCTTGTTCTACGACGTTATCCTAAATATAACCTAAAAAACCGATAGGAACACTTTTTGTGTTTTGTTTTAAATCAACTTAAAGAAGCATTAACGTTATTCATATAATTTTTTGTTTGGCAGATAATGTAATTTGCCATCCTTAACTTTATTTTTTGATACTGCTACGATTAGTGGAAGAATTTTTAATTGAAATACCTTTAAAAATGAAGCTACAAAGAAAATTAGCAGGTAATAAAAGTTCGGGTTTCCTCTCACCACAACGAAATCGGTTCCGAATATTTAAATTTTATCAGTATTTTAAATAATTATTAGCACGCCACTGTACAGCATATCATTGAGGTATTCGAAATTTTTAATCATAAAAATAAGCTAATCGAAAGATATAACAATTGTTAATAAAATTGATTTAATGAAAAATAATAATTTCTGTTTGCACGCCACTGTACAGCATATCATTGAGGTATTCGATATTTTTAATCACAGTAAATACGCTGGCTGAAAGGACAATTGCTAAAAAAATTCACCGGTAAGAACGATTCGGGATGGTTTAGAATGAAAAAGTTGAGAAAATGAATATGGTAATGTTAAATAAACGATATTTCAAAAACAAAGGCAAATATCAAAATTTTGAGAAAGTGGTTTCTTAATAATATGTAAATGATTAAAGTGAACTAAACAAATGATTATTTTTAAAATTATGCACCTTTGAATGTAAAATTCGGTGAGCCAATAATAAATAATTCCGAAAATGGGCGATTATTAGTACGCTACTGGACACCACATTATTTTAGTATTTTTTTTTTTATTGAAAATAAACCAGGATATCGTGGGGTATATCAAACAGCAGCATAAGATGCAAGATTTATTGTACAGGATGGTTCAGGTGCTTAAAAGTTGAAAAAAGTGGAGGTTATGAAAAAAAGTCGATATTTTTAAAATTAAGGCAGTTATAAAAAATTTGAGAAATTACTTTTTTTGCAGAAGATCATTGATTAAAACGCCGCATAGAAATAAGATTTAAAAAATTATCTGAGAAAGTTACACACATTCAAAATTGGGATGAAAATCATGGACTCTTTCAACACCCTGTATAAAAAAAAATTAGACATTTAAAAAAAATTCTAAATAGCAGTTTTTTTCACAAAAAGTCAATCTGTCAGCCCGTGAAAACCGCAGGTCGATATCTGTTCTGGTTCCAAAAATATCGATCTTGAAAGTTAGGCGATATTTACCTTGTTCGAAAGCAATTGTCCAGCAGTTTATATGACGATGACCTCGATGTCCTAGATATAGTGCAGGATGGGTTTCCTAGGGCTCAGTGGGGAAGACCGGATTATTTCGAATCTATGCCTGAGTTAGCATTCTTCAAAAGGTTTCGGCTAACAAAACCAACGGTTCAACAAGTATTGGAGGAAGTGGAAGAGCACCTGGGATATAATAATAGAATGTAAGTAGATATGCATAATGAATTTTCATTACATATATAATGGGTGCAGCTGAAACAAAAACCCCATAGGCCATAGGTATCTATGCTAAAGTTTCCAATGAGACTTGTCGCTGTGGCTGGACTTTATTTATTGAGAACTAGCTAATGACCCGCTGCGTTGCCAGCATGTAAATACATTTTGAAATAATACACTTCTTTTCAAATTTTGTTGTTGATTTTCTATTTAATTTTTTTTTTAATGCGATATCAGATTCGCTTGCCAGTGACGCATTTTAAGCACTCTAGAGCTGCTCTAGAGCGCCCCGAGCTGTTTATAGGCGTTCCAGTGTATCAGAGTTTTACGCAACCGAACTTTTTTTTTCGGGATAAAAAATAGCCTATATCACTCTCCTCTATAGCCAATTCGATTGACCGGATTAGATCGATCTGGTTCAATTTAAGTGAACCACACTGTGTTCGATTCAAGCTGGATCAGTGCACCCTCATCGACAAAAAAATGATCTAGATCAGAAGAAGTTCACTTAAATTGAACCCAAATCGATCTAATCTGGGTCAATCGAATTCACCTTATATAGAGATACGTGGTATTAATTCAATATCGGTCCAGCCGTTCTTGAATTCAAAAAAATAATAAAGTTACGTCGGTTGAATGCAAGCCTAAATAAATTAAATATGGCAACGTTGTTTCATGCTGTCAAAAAAAGTTGGGTCATGTTGTTATGTAATGTGAATGAGTTTGTTTACAATTTAATTGATAATTAATTCAAAATTTATTTCTTTTTCCGAGATGCGTAACCTATCCACAAACCTTCCTTGGGATGGCCATAACAACGTACCAAAGTTTCATCGTAATCGGATAAGTGGTTTTGGAGCGCATATCCGGATACCCCGTGAACTTTGATTTTTATATATATAGATAGATAGATAGATAGATATCTATATGATGATTGTTTATTTTACTAACCGAGCATCATCCTGTATCTGTACCTATACTCTATGCCTACCTAGGAATCAGCTGCTATTTACCCTGATTTTATGCTTCAAATGACCATCAAACCTCCATAGGGGATTTTATGGGATGCGCCCAAAACACTGCTTCGCGTATCATCAATAAATGTTCTAGAGCAATAGCTGGAACAAGGCCCCTCCACGTATACATGCCTCAAACAGTCGAGCAGAAATTAGAGACACAAGAAAAATTTTTCCGACTAGCACGATTTCCAAGGGTGTCCGGGGCCATAAATTGTACCCATTGAAAAATTCAATCTCCAGGTAATGTCTACAAAAAGCATAACTGATAAACTTTTGTTTGGCATAGGTACTTACGTAGGTATTATATGAAGATTTTTTTTTTCAGGTAGAAGTATATCGGAACAGAAATGGTTACTTCTCCATAAATACTCAGTTAGTTGGTGATTCTGACCTGAAAATCATGGACATTGTGGCCAGGTGGCCCGGATCTGTTCATGACTCCACAATATTTAATAACTCCCGCATATAAGGGCGGTTTGAGAATGGTGAATTTGGACAGGGCATACTTTTAGGTTAGTTATGACAATAACATATTTATTTGTCACTCATTTGTAAAACGTCATTTATCAAGTCAAAACATAAACAACGAAAATTGATTTTTACCAGTTACTGGCTCTACTGACTTGTAAAATTGACAGCTAAACTGTAAAAAAATTTTACAAGTCAGTAGGGTCAGAGAATTATTTATTAAAATTTTATTACCTATATGTATTAATTTTTTATTTATTGTTTAAGATTGTTTACAAATGAGTAATAAATAAATTATTGTACATCATACGCCAGGTATCAGTTTTTACTGGCTCTTGAAGGTGACAAGCTCGCCTGACGGCTCGCTAGTCATTTCCTTCAATCACCAGTAAAAACTGTTTTACCTGGCTAATAATGTAAAATACTATTACTATTCACTACAAATGCTACTAAATTAAATTGTAGGAGATAGTGGGTACGCATTGAAAAGATTTCTATTCACACCATTATTAAATCCACAGACAAGGGCAGAACACTTGTTTAATGAATCTCACATCAGAACAAGGAACGTTATTGAAAAGATAAATGGAGTATGGAGTATGGAAAAGGAGATTCCTGATTCTTGCCTATGGAATGCGATGTCGAATTGACAATATTTTACCCATAATAGTTGCTTGCAACCAGTCCCTGAAGAAATTGATGCCGACATGTTGGAATATTTGATAGACCAAGGAAATATCCCAGAAATTCCTACTGAAAATAATAATCAACTGTTCATCAATCATAGGCAACAGATGATCGACCAATTTTTTAATTTGCTCATCCAATAACTTTTATAGGAAATGCATAATCGTTGAATCTTTATTTGAATGGGTTTACTAAACAAATTCTTTGAACATATATCCTATTCACAATCTGTAGTTCAAAGGTACAGGTAAATTTATCACCTTTTTCTATAAAATAGCATTGAAAGGTGATAAATTTTACCTGTACCCTTGGACCACAGATTGTGAATGGATAATACCTAAATTATCAATGGAAAGAAGAACTGATCTATGCAACACATAAATGAACATAGAAAGAAACATATAACAGTTTAAGGTTTATCAAAAAAACTCGTAATTTTGACCTACAAAAGACAAAATTGTAAATTAAACCACTGTTCTTCAAATTTTCAGTTTTTGAAGTGAACATATTACTTTTGTTTTTCTCTTGCTAGTTTTATGTTTAAAATATCAATTTCAAGCTTGTTTTTAATTTTTTGGAACGTCAAATCTTGATTTATGCTTTCAATTTGTTTTTGGAGCAATAATTTCCTCTGATCCAAGAGCTCATCATATTTTTGAGCTATATGTGATGAAGCTAATATTCGGATTCCTGGTCTTCGGGTCTGACGAGTCATCTAAAAAGTAAATAGGATGGCAGAAATTACAAAATTTAAGAAAAAATAATTAGCTAAGTTCAGCCAAACCAAATGACAACTGCGAGTTTTGTCAACCTGTCTAAAGCCTAGTACTCATAACTGCGAAATTCGCATTTTTTTGACATTGCTTCGACAATTTGACGCTTGATACACGCATAAAACGTCAAATTGTCAACGCAATGTCAAAAAAATGCGAATTTCGCAGTTATGAGTACTAGGCTTAAGGCCTCAACGGCTCCCCCTTCAAATTATATTTTAGTTCTAAAAAAAATTTTAGATGGCGCCAAGATGAAAGCATTTTTACAGTGGAGCATTTTAAATATTATAGCGATTTCAATTTGCAGAATCAGTGCAACTTTTTTCACTCAGTTCGCACTGATTGGCTAATGAGATTATGGAGGGATTTGTATTTCCATGCCTCGTATGACTTCAAATTTTGTTCTACTCTGTAAAAGTGATGTTTTGTTGTAGAGCTTGTTTTTGAGGTACGTTTAGTTGTGGTAGGTACCTATGAGATTTTCAGGAAGCAATTGGCACATGAATGGGTTTACAAATAGAGGAATACTTGGAGGAATAATAAAAAAATAGTCCTATCAGGAGTCTTACACAATTTCAGATATTGGTGAAAGATCCAAGAGCTAGTAAAAGAAATGCAAATCGCCAGATACCTAAATTGAATGCTCTACTGCATTGGTGGATATTATTATCGCACTAATATGCAATAACACAAAGGAAAAACTCTAATTTTAGCACTTTCCACCTTTTGTAAATAAATTTTAATAATTATCGGTTTTAGACTACAAAAAAAAAACGGCACATCAGAATTTGCTGAAATTTGGCATAAACATTCTTTGATCGATTATCTAGAGAATAGTGCTCTTATTTTTTCAATTTTTACCGTGGATATTTCTATTTTTGGGAAATAGTTCATTTTCACAATATAGGCCAAAAAAAAATTAGAAATATGGAAAATCTAACTGCACTATTCTCTAGATAATCGATCAAGGAATGTTTATGCCAAATTTCAGCAAATTCTGATGTGCGGTTTTTTTTTGTAGTCTAAAACCGATTTCTGTATTTTGTATCGTGTGCATGGGAGCGATGTTGCCCCCTTAAGCTTGTGATATTTTCTTGTTGGAAGACCGACCTCGCATCATATCAAAAGAAAAAAGGATGACAACAAGCTGTTGAAAACTGCAATTGTCATTTGTCTGAAAACACACTTACCAAACCTTGTCTTCCTCTCCCTTGAGCTCTGGCAATACCTTTATTTGTATCTGAGCGATTATCAGTCCCAAACCCCCACCTTGATTGTCCTTCGGTTTTGGTTACTTTTATCTAAGAGAACAAAATAAAGTTATGAACAGATTAATTTCATACCTATTATTAGATTTCTACCACGGATTTTTACACTAATATATCAGTTTTGAATAAAAAAATTGTTTTGCCTTACCTAACCTTTTTTTTCCATCGCAGATAGCACCTTCAATGCTGGGTTTTTTGGTAATCTGAGGTCATTTGCCATTTTGAAATTTGGTTTTTGTAATGTTTCCTGAAAAACGTGAGTGTAGTTATGCTACAGGGCGAGTTACAGGGCGTCCCGCAGTAGGATTCTTATCTCATTTCGGGATGTAACGTATAAGATTTCAAATGGCGACGATACTTTCCAAAATGAGATGAGAATCTCACTGGTATAAAGGTTAAAAGGTATCATCACCCAAATTTTTCTGAAGACCTACTTGAAAATTTGGAAAATCCTGTGAAACATTGGTTTTGTTTTGGTCCTGATCAGTCTCGAAGTTTTTATTCTCAGTTTCGATGTTTTCATTCTCTTCTGACCAAATACCTAATCTAAAAGAAATAATATATGACTATACTATAGCCAATTGGTATGTCATTTCTTTAACTTTAAGTTCAAAAATTTCATTGAAGTAATGAAAAACAGCAAATATTTTAAGGACATAGGTACCTCAACATCAGGTTCATCCTTCTCAGGGGTTAAGTTGCCAGCATTACTAGAAGATCGAATAGAAGATTCTTCCTAAAAAAAAGAACAGTTTTTATTCTACAGAGTATTACAAAGAATGAACCTCTGGGGCGCGTTCACAGTGGTTTACCCTGGGTAAAACTTAACCAAGTTAAATATTTCACTGGTTGAAAAGGATGCGCTTGGGATGACAAATCCGTGAACGAATAACGTCTGCGCCATAACGAGGTAGGATTTGTTGTTTTTTTCTTTTGTTTACATACGTTGTGTTTCGAATGTTTCGAGATGGATCTGGGAATAATATTATTTAAAAGTACTATTGAAACTTCTTCGGATTCGTCTGCTACAGAGGAACAAGTCAGCTATGCTGTAGCAGAAGCTGCCAGTGCTAGCGCTAGCAGTTTAAGTTTCAACCCTGAAAAAAGGCATATTGGAAGACAGGATAATTTTATGGCAACAATACGCAATTATAGCGATAAGGAGTTCCAGGAAAATTTTAGAGTTTCCAGAGAGGCTTTCAACTGGCTTCCTGGAAAACTTGAAAACCAGTTGAAGTTGGCAATGTATGGCCCAGAAAGATTACCAACAGTATTGTTTATCAAATTTCAAATATTCTTTGTAAAACGCCTGCGCGACAAAATTTACCCATGTCTCAGAGTGGGTTAAAAAGTTGTACAACCGGGTAAAGTTATCATGGCTCTGTGAACGGAGCAAATATTTTAACCGGGTGAATTAGGTAGATCCGTGAACGACTTAACCCTGCAAAAGACGCGCTCGGTGTGCACTCGGTGAGCGTCCGGCGTTCGACTGTGAACGTACTCCTGAGGAATGAACAGAAATACAACAGTATCAGTTATATCAAAATCAGTTCAACTGTTTGTGCTGTGGTGTGGCATATACAAATACCTCGACGAATACACTAATAATACAAAAACATAAAAGTGGATAACTAGAAAACTAACTAACCTTTTCTAAACATGTCATGTTCTTCAAATAGAATTCTTGCTTGTTATTTCCTTTATCATCTTTTGGCTCATCCACATTTTTGCATTGCACATCAGCAATGTCAGAATCAAAAATGTTCATTAATCCCTCTACTGATTTTTGGTTCACAATTGTGATTAGTATTTTATCTGCTGCATCCAACTCAATTTTATTCTCAGGACCTCCTCCCGTTTTCATCATTTCCTCTTTTTCTGTTTTCGTAAAAGCGTTTTAGGCATTCCTTGTCCCTATATATTCCTGTTGTGGATACAGCATTGAAAGTGTTCGTTAATTCTTTCCATGCCTGTTCTTTAACTACAGTGGAGCTCTTGTCTGTTGCCTTGTTTTTAATCTTGTGTTTATATTTTCCATTAATTAAAGTAAATAGGTCCAACTTTTCATTTGATGTGAAATTGGGTTGTCTTTTCTTTTTGTTTGGTGTTGGACCGTCATATTCCTCATCGCTCATCCTCAGTCCTGTTGAAAAGTAAAGAACCTCAAAAATTGCACCTTTATTAAAAAAATCAAACCCAATCAAAGGGGCCCTCGAATGTACAAAATTTTACTACTTTTCTCTGTGAATGAACCTAATTTTTCTTACCTTTTCTTGATCTTTTTAGGATTAAATAATTTTTATTCAATAATTTGCACTAATTTGCAGGAATCCGGCACTCGATTTTTTTTTCATCAACAACAACCAACAACACACAATACGTAGGTACATAACCACAAATATTGAAAATGCATCAAAATGCGGTGTTGCCAGAAAGACGCAAAAATTAACTAGCAATTTCCTAACTTTCCGATGAAAAGTAATGGTGGATACAATCTCAAATAAACTAGCAGTTATCGTTAATCGACAGTTACTTAATAGATGGTTAGGATGTTCACTGGTGGATACGGCCATTAGTGATGTGTTGCATTGATTGTTATGTAAAGTCGTTTTTTTTTTAAGAGAATTTCCTACATCTGTCAAAACTGACATACCAACAACAATAAACTGACATGTTTTGATTGTTGATTTGAACCAATCAGATTGGAACTACGCGATAATTGCACAGTAACTGGTGCAAGAACTGGTGTTTTGACATTTTTTGACAAAAAATTTAAATTTTTGATTCATGAAATTCTCTCATAAAATACAACTCGTGCAATGGAAATTGTAACCCCTTTTGTTAACGAATTAACAGGGAGCCCATAATGTGCTCGGTTTGCTCAGTGAAAATAATATTAGGTGTGGGTTGAAAGTTTTTAATAAGTACAGTATGGCCAGGGCGCCACTGAATTTTAAAAAAAAAATATATAAAATTGTATAAAATATGGAAGTGTGAAAATTCAGAAACACACCTAAAAAATAATTAGCAAACGGTAATTGGTAATCCTGAAAAAGAAATAAATAAGGCACACAACTCAACAAACCCTGACCTAGGTAAACCAATAAAACAAATAAGCAAGTTTCAAATTAAAATAGTATACCTATATTTCACAGTGTAGTTGAAATTCAAAAATTAAATAATCTCAATGTATGACATCAATTATTGCTGTTAATACAATTTAAAAATCAATTAATAGAGGTCAAATTTCAATCAGCAGTATTACCAAATTCAAAAATTAAAAAAATATATTAAAATGTACCTTAATATAGTATAGTATGTATCATTATAAGTTCACTTACATTTTTACCTGAAAGAAATCAAAAGTTGGGCTATATCACTGTTAAATGGTTTGGAGATTTAATAGAAATCCGCAAGTATATAAGTCGTAGAACCCAGGGTTAAAAATTGATCAATTTTTGACGTTATAGGTACTTACACAATAATTTCAAATTTAGAGCATAGTGTCCAACCTTGACCTCAGTTCAGATAAATGATTATATGGTTAAATAGAAAAGGTAAAATGTAAGGCAATATTTAAATATAAACGTACTAAAAGTTAAGTAAAAAATAATCTATAGTAAATTCGGCAAATCAAAAATCGAGAAAAAAATAGTTATTTATGTATCAAGGGTACTAAGTAGATGATTATGCCCTGAGGGCGACAGTCTTACAAAGCCGAGGGCCTCTGGCCCGAGGGTTCGTAAGTCGCCCGAGGGTATATATATCTATTAGAACCCGTGGTTCATACAAACTTTTATGTCATACCAGTTGGTTGTGAAGAATAAATACCTGGGAAAAAAGTGTCACTTCGTAAATTGTCATCAGTGTGCAAACATCATAATTTTTTGACAAAAATAATATGTTTATAAGCGTAAATTTATATTTTGTTAATAAAGAATAAGTTAATTGAAAACTGTTTTTTGCGTCTTTATGCCCGCGCGGGCCATAATGTGTACTTTATGCCCGCACGGGCATAAAGTAATGAATTATGTAGATGGTATCCAAGGTATAAAAACACAATAATGTATTGGTATGACATAAAAATATTTAAAGTTCACTAAAATGTCAAGAAAAACATAATTGAAACTTGTAAAAATCTAAAGGTAATGTCGGTAAAGATGTTATCAATTAATTATGTTAATTGATAATAAAATAGATTTCATAGAAAAAAGGTAGTTAAAATTATAATTGAAAGTCTATACAAGCCTCTATTCCAATCGAAAGGCAGATTACGGTAGCCGGTAGCCATCCAGTCCTTAGTCACTGGAAATCGTAGATTCTAGCCTGGAAGATAGAGGCTAGAAGTTCAGTTTTCCTCGTCAATGGTTAACGTACAGGAGTTGACACGTGCAGGACTCAAAAGCTCTATGCCCAGAGATGAGGCTTGTAGAAAAGGAACTCTTGAGAAAAACAGCTTCTCGGAAGATAAAGGTCAAAGTAGGCCCTAGGCCCACGGTAGAAACAAGCCTTCGGAAAAAACTAGGCCCTCGGAAAAACCCTAGATAATAGAGGCATTCCATAAACAATCATCACTTAGAAAAAATTAAAGAAACTTACCACGTGGGTTTCGAAATTCAAACTTGAATAAACCGGCAATCACAAGACTTTTCGAATGTAATACCACAAGAGGTTTCAGGATTACCCGATAATACTTTTACCTGTCACGAAACGCGTTACGCAGCAACACCACGACTCCGAAGGAGGAGTGGTGTTGCTGGTAACGCGCTGAGTGTCAGGTAAAAGTATTAGGTAATCCTGAAACATCGAGTGGTATTCAAAAGGTTATATAACGAACTAAACTTTAATACAAATTCTATAATAGAATTTGCCATAAATGCCACCAAGCGCGATAATCCCAAAAGGCTTATCACTTCTTAAGCCTCTCGTGTCATATGGGAATAATGTACAGTGAGTTGTATAACCACTTAAATTTTCTCGGCAATCAATGTACTATTGTCTTAGGCAACGTTATTTCGTATAATAAGATACTTTTTCCACGAGAACGGTAATTTATTTCGGGAAATGACTGGCCCCCGAAGCCACAATTGAGAATCAAGCTCTCAGGGCAACGGCCAGATAAGAAAAGGGACTTTTCAATTTTCTCTTCGAGAATAAATAGAGAAGTTTTGACAGTCTTGAAGGAAAAACACTGTCAACCCGAGAAATATAATAAACCAAGGTGAGAGTTACCGATTCTGTGGTGCGACACTGGCATCGCGATGACGTCATATCGATACTAGCGTCCCTATCCACTACAAGACAAACTTAAATAGTATTTGGCGGGCTTTTTGAATTTTTAAATTAAAGTTTTGTTATTTTTGAAGGTAGAAATCTAGCCCAGCGTTTTTTCCGCAGTCGACAGAAAAAAAATGTGGAAAAAAGCTGGCCGGGAAACAAATAAATAATTAAAACATGTTCATGAAGTACCTAATCTATATATTTTGATCTTTGACAATTAACAAAGAATAATAATAGTAGATTATACCACGAGTCAATAATGATAGCTATTATTCCCGAGGAATATTTACGAACTGAGCCGCGTTCGCGGCGAGGGAGTAACATTTCGAGGGAATAATAACCATTATTGCGAGTAGTATATACCCTACTTTATTTACGACAAATTAATTTATTTGAAATTTTCTTTCCAAAAACGCTCTTTGTTCATCCAGCTCAATACAAATACACAAGCACTACGCGTTTGACACTGACACCTTTGAGTTTGTTCAGGTAGGTATATTGTTTCCATGGTACTACCTAATTATTTAATTTGAGAAATTTTGTGATTGGTGTGCAAGCGGGAATAATGACCATTAATCCCTGCGGGAATAATATATGGCATTATACTGCCAAAGTCACAAATATAATACTTACATTATATGTCAGTCGTAAATAAAAATTAAATTATACATAAATATAACTTTGTAACTAATAAATTGCAAAAAAAATTACAACAAAAAAAAAGCAAAAACAGTAGGTAATGGTAGGTTAGTTTAAATTATCATTCTTTATACATGAACTTAAGGATTTTAACATTCTAAATCTTACCAGAATCATGTATTTTTAATAAACTAATTAATTTTAGGTTCACTTATTTCTGTTAGTTTTGAAAAATGAAAATGTCAATTTATGGGTTAGAAATTGCAATGTAATAAATAAAAAACCCTATGTCCTTTCACTCCTCTCTTCCTTTATTATGACATCTCTTAAAAGGAGACAGATATAAGAATGGCAGGCGATGTCAGAATTGTCAGATATTTCCAAGCATTACTAGCGCCACCATGGGCTACAAAAAATACGTTGCCACTTGGCGCATATGAATCGGTAACTCTTACTCTTGGTTTATTATATTTCTCTATGTGTCAACCTGTCGACCCTCAGGGCCGAGTTCAGAAATAACGCACAGGATGCGAGTGCGATTTTATGGGTGTGCCTGAATTGACAGTTGGCCATTGGGCTCATAGCACCGTCTAGCATTTTTGAACAGCTAGGGCGTCGCACCGGTGTCACACTCACACTGGGTGTGTCATTCCTGAACTCGCCCCAGCTATGTAGAAACTACTACGTTCGAAATTTATTAACGAGGTCAAAGAACAACTAAGTACCGGAGTCGAATAGATCTAGGTAGTACAAAAGAAAACGCCTACTCCATTCTCGAGGTCGCCGATGAATAATACATTCAGCCGGCAATAGATTTTATTTTATTTATTTTATTTATGGTACATCTTACAAACATCAAGCAAGTTGATAATGACAAGTAAGGGTTACTATAACTAATAGAATCCCTAGAATCTATCTAAAACTAAAACTAAAACTACGAAAAATACA